GAACCCCTGGAGATGCAGGACACAGTGGTAGAACACGTGGAAAAGTACAAATATCCGGGAGTATGGTTAAGTGAGGGAAGAAAGTATATAAAAGACCATGGAGATATCGTAATAAAGAAGGGGAAACGAGATTCAGTTATTATGAAATGCAGGGCACTATAAACATATAACAGATATGAAGTCGTTAGGGGTGTATGGAAGGGGGTCATGGTAACAGGACTGTCGTTTGGGAATGCGGCATTGCATATAAGGTCAAAAATTCAGGCAGGTTTAGAGATACAGTAAAGGAGTGTGGGTAGGTTGGCATTGGAGGCGCATAGAAATACACCAAATGAGGGAGTACAGTGGGATATGGGTTCGGCATCTTTTGAGAGTAGAGAAGCGATCAGTATAGTAGAATTTAAACAAAGACTAGCTGAAACTGAGGATACACGGTGGGCAAGGAAAGTGTACAAGTATCTATACATGAAGAGTCTAAACACAAAGTGTACAAACCAAACCCGCGAGCAGCTGAGAACTAAATACATTCAACGAGATGGGACCGATCAGAGCATATCAGTAGAAAAGGGAGTAAAGGAAACAGAGAGGAAATTGTGGGAAGAGAGAATGCAGAAGAAATCAGCTTTAACAATGTACAGGGCACAAAAACAAGAAATGAAGAAGGGACAGTTGTATGATAATTCATTGGGGAGCTCATAACTGTTTGAAGCTAGAACGGGGGTGCTACGAACGAAACCATATAGGGCTAAATTCCAGGAATTAGACACTCTATGCAACATATGCAACCGCGGGAAAGGGAAACTATAGAACATGTAATTTTAAGGTGCACGGGGCTTCGCTCCACCCGCCTGGGGGGGGGGGGGGATGACTACGGATTTGGAGCGAGCACTGGGGGGATTTGCAGAGATGGATGGACGAATGGATCGGGAAAGAATTGCGGTAACTACCTAAGAGCAGACTGGAAGATTGGGGGAAAGTTCTGGGGAGGGGTAAAAATGCAGATAAAAATAGGCAATGGAATCACTTTAAAAAGGGGGAGGTTGGGGGGTTTGTTAGAACAGAATTTATACAAATTAAAAAAAAAAAAAGAAGGGATGACGAAATGTTAAGCCAGGTGGCGCAAGCTGTCACCCGTTACAAAGGATATAGCCATTTCCATCCATCCATCCAGCCTGCCTACCGACGTCTCGCCAACGGCCCGCTGATGACGTACAATGGCGCCATCTAGTGTCGATCTTCTGATAACAACTTTAAAAGAACAATCGTCCAGAAACGAGTGTAATTTTTGGTGTTTTAGGATGCTCAGAGCCCATAGATTGCACTGTGACAGTAAATAGGCTATCGCAGAAAGTAAGCTAGTGCCACTTTAAAGCACTACATTCCTCGACAAAAAAAAAAAACATTTTGGCTCAAATAACTGTGCGACCTGGGTAGGTCCCCAATAAACAATACTCTTTTGACTATCAAAGTAATAGGAAAATCAATTCGCCCTCCTTTACGGTTCTTATTGTTTCGGTATTGGTCCAGTTCAAAAGCGACAGCATGATTATAACCAGTGCTTAAAGTCTCCATAAATTTAGGGGGCCTTAAAGACTGATAACAAAAAGGGGGGGGGGGGGGGGGGGGTTGTGTTACTTAAATTGAAATTCAATTCAATCTTTTTTTTTCATACAGGAAAGGGAGGAGGAAAAAAAACAAACAAGAACTGCTTGACAAAATCACCTCCTCTGTCAAGGTAGACACAAAACCAATTTGGCTACAGTGTGCAATTGCAACCCAGAACGTTCCGTAGGAAACGAATGCGCCTAACAACTTGATAAGGCCGTCCGATTATCTTTCTCGATTGAAGAGCAGTTTTCATAAAACAATGAGTTGAAACACCCGCCATTTTTAAAGCGATAGCTTTACACGTGACACTTTGCTGGGATTTCGGTGTCGGCGTTTGTTGTCTGTCGTCGCAGCAGAGTTGGAAAAAAAACATTTTTCCCTTTATGCAGCGAGAAGAGGGGGGAGAGGAGAGCCAAGACGACCCGCCAGTAACGGTGCGGCAACAAGGAGACGTCAGCAAAGCGTCTTCACCTGTCCTCTGCTAACGAGAACTTCAAGACAGGTGTTTTCAAACGTTACTCGAAATACACGAAATCGCAGTTTGACAGTATCCAACTGCTACGCGTAATGTAGAGTGTTTTCAAAATTTCCACCGCGTTCGATTTTGCTGAACATCTCTACTTCTCTGACCCAACTCGAGACGTGCAATAAGTTCTGCTGAAACTCGTCACCTTCCAGCCACCTTCAGCGCGGCGCTTCGGCTACTTTCTTTGGATGCGTCCCCCTCTCCGCTCATCGCTAAACGTCAATATTACCCCTCCCTTCAACCCTCAACAACACCTAAAAGACCTGCACCTCCGCTTTTGCCGTCACCGCAGCACTATCGCAGCTCTTCCTGAGGGCGCAGCCACACTGACAACCAACGACAGGCTTCACGTGCCGTGCGTACACTGCGACGTGGGGATGCCGAAGTACGACAGCGCGAGGCGGAGGCGCGTACATGGCTTCGCTTTTACTTCTTCGCACATTGTGGACAAAAAATACACCTTTTTTCTTTGCTAAAATAGTTCTGGAGAGCTGGCGAACGTTCGTACCATAAGATCTTGATAACATTACTCACAATGTAATGCGACATTGCCTCACGAGGTTCGTAGGACGGTCGCAGTGCTAGGCATCGCCTACATATTCTCAATCTCAAATCCATGGAAATCCACGCTCAACGGCAAGGCACAAGTCAAAGCTGCGAAAGTATACCTTACCGGTCGTGCTGCTTTGATTATTTTTACTTTTAGTTTTTGATAACTAGTATAAGGAAACTTATTTAAATAGGACGATTACCGTTGTTTTAATATTTAACTTATTGTGAAAATCGTTTAAAATGGGTAAAGGGTTCGGTTCTCTAGATTCGCAACGTTCGGACATCTAAGGTGCTTTACCCCGTAGCGACAAGCAGCGCATACTCTGCTTCCCACAAAATCTACCCATAGTTCCTTTGTAATAATGTGGTGTGTAATTGGCCCATCTGGGGTATCCTCGTCTGCAATAAAGCCACTCTTTAGGTACGCTTACTGCGACATTTCGGCGTACTTATGCCACGTTCAGATATACATTTAAGTCGTATGCTTTGGCTGCGTTACCGCCATGATTCCAGTGAAATAGAAATAAGTGCATCGGATATACTGAACGTGCTCTAAGGTACGCATCAATTTAGAATATCCCGAAATGAAAATAGGAAAGAAAGATTAATATTAGGTAAAAAAAAGAAGAAGAGCAAAGTGGCAATGCAGGCGAGTTGGTTCATGATACAACTGGAGACAACGCACAAATAACAAAGAAGAGAAAGGTGTAGGCGGGACAACCTTTGCCCTCCTTCCTCGTCTTTGTTATTTGCGCACTGTTTCCAGTTTTATATAAAAAAGATCATATATGAGAAAGAAAAAATCATGCATGATTTCTCCAATCAACATATCAGAATTTATATAACATATAATGCGCATGCCAGGCTTGTACAAATTCTCATTGTACCTTCTATGTTCTCATATCTTTTAGGACAGATTAATATCTAATGTTTCACCCCAAGGGGAGAACTGCAAAAACAACTGCAAGCTGTGGGACACAAACCAATAGCCTCTTGAGTACTGGTAATCAAGAGGGATTTGTGTAACTTCTGGCAACTTGTTGTGATGTTTCCTTTAATAAGATTTCTTCGCATGCACCCCCGAAACCGCGCAAAATCCGACCGATGGCAGAAGCTACATTGCACAGAGAGCTAAGTGTGCATGATGCCGACGTATTTTAATACCGACAAAATATTAGGAGGAAAAGTTTAGTCCACGTTTTGAAGTAATGACAATAAAAACTATATTACTCTCGTAGTGCCTTCCATAATCAGGAATCAGGCATAGCCGAAGCTAAAAGTGTATGGACGTTGGCTCGAGCTGAGCTTCCACTGGTACGAGTGCGCGTTCTCGGCTTGACAGCACCCAATGACTTGACTCTCGCAGGCGTATCTATTGGTTTAGTTGCAGGCTTGGTGAAACCAAGGTATGAGTCTGATTCCCCATCGTGGTTACTACAGGGTGATTCAAGGAGACGCCAGGCTCTTTAAATCCACCGCAAGATTCGGTTTCTTAACCTATCACGCTACGACTTTGTGCAGCGTTGCCCACAGATGGTGCATTTTTTTTATGTAAAAATTTGCAAAGAGCGAACTTACCTGAGGAAAAATTAAAGAAAGAAAAAGGCTTAGCTCCTATGGAAACGCAGCGAAGCCATCGGTCTTCAAACAACACGGCGCCGTTTCGCATGGAAGACAAAAGATGGCGCAAGCGGTCGCGACGCCAACTGCCGCAACGAACGAGCATATGACGCTGAGAGCCGGCGTCGTTAGCAGACGAGGAACTGCAGTTCCTTGTTGTTACCGCGCCTGTTTCTGTTTCTGCGACTGTCGCCACCTGCGGAACGCGCGCCGCTTTTGAGTCGAAAAGATTGTCTGCTAAAAACGCCGGCTCTCGGCGCCATATATGCTCGTTCGTTGGTGGCGTTCGTTGCGCCATATCTTGTCTCCCGTGCGAAACGGCGCCGTTGTTTGAAGACCGGTGGCGTCGCTGCATTTCCATAGGAGCTAAGCCTTTTTTGTTCTTTACTTTTTCCTCAGGTAAGTTCGCTCTTTGCAAATTTTACAAAAGAAAATGCACCGTCTGTGGGGAACGCTGCATGCACAAAGTCGTAGCATGATAGGTTAAGAAACAGAATTTTGTGGTCGATTTAAAGAGCCTGGCGTCTCCTTGAATATCCCTATATATAGTAGATATAAATGGCAAAAACCCTATAGCTTTTTTAGCACTGGCAGCACACGTAAAATAGTTTCCCGGTGCAAGGATGTCAACCAAGAGCTACTGAATTCCTGCTGCTTATTATGATTCACAAAGAAATATGACATCAGTGCTCACCCGGCGCTTTTCGAGGGAACCCTCTGAAATGCCGGGTTGGACGCAGTCATCGTTGCCGAAGGACTCTACGTCGATAGGACAGGTCCTCCCTTCCGGAGAGCACTCCTCATGGCACTCTGAGCAGAGCATGTGGCCACAGGACAGCCTGGTGTCTTTGAGGGGCACCATTCCACAGAGTGCGCATGCGCCCTGAGCGATGATTGGCTCCTGGAAGAGGGTCCTCCAGTCCAGGGCGTCCGAGAATCCGGAAATGCAGAAGGACCTCATCTTGGTTGCGCAACCGTCGAACCCGGCCTCCGGTCTCTTTTCGATGATGGGGATCGAACCTACGGAATGGAAGGTTCTCGTCATATGAGTATAACAAGTGGGTCAATCTTTCACGCCTCGCTAAAACATACATGTGTATAGCCGGATTTATTTGGCGTAATTAAATAACGATACATCCTGATTTTTTTAAAGGACACATGTAAAGGAAAATAACCTTTTTTTAAACAATAGATGGAAAAAGGATATTATAAAACAAATTTACGACGAAGAAAAAAAATTTAGAGCTATATTTACGGCGCAAAACAGATTTGTAGTTGGCAGCCGCGGGAGCCGCCGCTGATCACGTGGTATGCCTGTGCGCCGGCGCGCTGCGTCGCCGCCTTCGCAAAGTCACGCCGCCTCCGCATGCTGCGCGTTTTGCGACGCCGCTTCAAAGCGTTTCTCCACGCCGCCGTCGCCGCCGTCGTACAAGTTTGTCTGCTTCGAGGCGCCGCCGCCGTCATCTGACCGGCACACAAGTCTATGACGTCTGCTTACGCTTTTTCAGGAAGAAGAAGAAAATAAATGGTGCTATGGAGAATTTGGCAGCCTTGAAATGGCGCCGGCTAATCCAACGCTTTCTCATGAGTTTCCTTTAGGATCTAAAAGTTACTTATTAATCTTAGTTTTTTTTTGTTTTTTTTTTTTTTTGTTATACGTTAAACAATGATGAATAGGTTACTTTTGGGGGTCATAGGAAGCTTCCGAAAGAGCGCAAGCACCACGTGACAAATATGGATCGGTCACGTGACAAATAGAGACCACTTTTCCGCAGCCACCCGCGGGCGCAAACTACAAATTCGTATCGCGCCGTAAATATAGCTCTAAACATTTTTCCTTTTTCGTTGTAAATTCGTTTTATGACATCCTTCTCCCAACCAGGATGTTAAAAAATGTTTTTTTTTCCTTTGTATGCGTCCTTTAAGGCGTTCAAAGAATCTCGGTGTTGTACTTTGCTCCAACATGTTGTGGGAAAATCACGTTTAACCAGTTACAAACAAAAATAGCTCAAATTACTGGCGTAGTTGGTCGTATTAGACAGCTTATTTCCACGCGAATTAAGTTTCTTCTTTATAATTCACTTTTACTCACAATTAAATTATTGCCAACTCGTGTGGGGGACGACATTAACAAACATAGAGCGTGGTCACTTAATGCAAAAGAAATACGTAAGGCACATTGTAACGCGCCGTATGGTATACCAAGTGCAATTTTCTTTTATTGCTCCCGTGTGTTTAGAGCTGCATTCTATATATATATATATATATATATATATATATATATATATATATACCGTTTCCGTGTTTGCTAAAAATCAGAAACAAAAAACAATATAAATTGTGTCGTAATCAAGCTTAATTACAAAAAAAAAAAAAATCTTATTTTCGAAGGCACAAAAAAGAACAGTACAGTATCTACAACTCGCCTAAACTCCGGAAAAGAGTGCCTCTGTCGTTCATTGCCATCTCTATTAATTATCTATCACCTTGTTTTTGATATTCAATCCCTGCCCTTGCTCGTTTCGATCTGGATGAACATCGTACCGGCGTGCGGTCGTGTACCACTACTGCGTGGTGCGCGTTAAAGACCCCAGGCTGGCGGTTGTACCGTACTGGCTAAATTGCTCATCTACAGCTGAGACACCAGACGCCCACTGAGGCAGACTAACTTCCGGCTGTATAAAAATACACACAACAATTTGCTTGGTTTTGTTTTTATATATACACTTGCAGGCACACCGAACTTCGCGCAATGTACAAAAACATGGAAAGCTAATTTATTTATTTATTGTGCTACTGAGATAGGCTATAATAAACTTCTTAATTTTTTTTTTGTGTTCAGCTTTTTAATTACTGTGCATTTGAAGCGACGGAGCAGCTGCATACTGGAGGAAATGCTGCGAGTTCTGGCGCGGCAATTGGGCCTCAAAACCTCTTATATATGCAGGAATAGGCTGGTGTGGTACTTTGTCCACCGATCTCAGAGTACCATTGCAATATTACAGGACAGGTACACCGTACAGGGCTGAAATGGCAACAGATTTAAAAACAAAGGTGTCAACCTGAGCTAATCGCGATTTGCCCATATTTGCTCGAGCCACAATGCGCATCATCTTTCCGGTTGCAAAACTCCGGTCTGTTTTGCTAGTTCTCGCATGTGGCGCACAAATGTCCAGAAAATCATTGGGGTGTTAGCAACTTTCATCTGGAAATCAAGCTGGGAAAGAATGTGAAGGGACAACCTTTTCCGTTGTGTAAACTCTGGTGGACTGGGACTCGCGCATCTCTGTGAGGTTCGCGATTCTTTTTCTTGCATGACCACCATTTCCTTCTTCTTCTTTTTTTTTCTTCCTTTTTACGCACAGCAATCAAAGCTAAACTGGGGAACTCCGGAACTGCTATGTTGGTCATGAGGGATTGTACTGAGACTCGAAGTATCTTTGAATTTTCGAAAGTAAAAGATACTACCACGTTTTTACAAGCGCTGGTTTTAATGTCGGCGAAGTCACGAAAAAAAAAAAAAAAAAAGATGGCCGCCGATCTGGTGCAGCTTCTTTTGCCCTGCGCCTTTATATTGTTCACTTTGCAGCCTAGGACAAGATCTATGTCGAGTGAAGAAATGTGCGTCCCGCCGGTTGTTAAGTCTTCCTTTTTAAGCTGCACAGTGGCACATTGCCGGTTGAACCATGATTCAAGGAGAAGGGGATTTGTGCCACGATCTGTTTATTGCTTCCTATGCAAGACGGCTGAAAAAATTGAACATATTTTCATCTACTGTCGAGACGCAATGTTTTTCTCGGACCTTTTGCAACGAAGATTGAAGAAAGGTATGTACGTAACCAGCGTGACAACTCGTTACCTGGCAGACGAGAAAAACGACACTGTCCCTTATGACCCATTCATAGCACTTGGTTTATTCAGCATATGGAAAGCGCGACTGGAGTTCCGATATGCCGACCCGCATATCCAACCTGTAAGTAAACACTTCATTGATGTCTCTCGAGTCTGTGTATACTCTAGGCCTGCCGACACTGCACCCGACTGGGACCATTCGTTCCACGAAATCAGACACACGAGAGTTTTAGCAGACCCAGAAGTGCTTGGGTGATGTGTCCATACTGACATTGCGTTTCATGCTGCAATTCTTGTGTCCAATAAAGAAAATAAAAATTTTACGGCCCGGTTACAAGGTGACTCCGCATCAAGAACGGCTTGGTAGAGCGAAGGAGGGAACCGCATCTCGTGTGCGCTCAGTGACCACAGGTCACCAAAGCCGGCGGCGGGATCTCCCATGGGCGTCCAGAGCGCGCACACAGGACGGGTTTGTTAACGCTGTAAATTAGCGTTTTCTTCTTTTTTTTTTAGATTGAACGCTTTTGCTTCGCACGCAGCGGACCGAGGTTCGCGGGCGGCGGGCGATCTTTTTTAATGATTTAGTAACATTGGCGACGGACGTCTTACGTCGCCAACTACAACATAAACTACTATAACGTCAACGACTACAGCCACTACAACTTCAACGACGGGCGTCATTTTCAGTGGTCGGAAGAGCCCAAAACACTTAACCCTGTAAAAAGGAACAATAACGTTTGGAAAACAAAATGGTCAGATGTCTATTTTTGTACCGAACTGTTTTGCTCACGTACCCAACGGTGCATGAAGATGACGCTGATTCTTAAGGATTTCTCCGTGCCTTGTCGCAGATATCGCCGTGGTTGTAATGTGGATTAACGCAGGACTGCTCAATTCTCGTGGAACAATCGTATGATTCTAGAGTAGTGCCCGCAAGATGGCCAAAGTTGCTGTGACGTCGCGATGAAAAATTCTACGTCATTCTTAATTAATTCTAACTTTAATGGGAGTGAAGTGTTGAAATCAATAGCCTCGGCTAGGTGACGCAAGCTGCCGCCCCACTAAAAGGGTTCAGCCGTATCCATTCATCCAATACTCCCTATAAAAAGGGCCTGTGTACGCGCTGAAGCTCGACGCGTTGGAACGCGACGAGAGGACGAGGCAAAGCGGCAGACGTGGGCTTGCTGGCTTCGCGCCGCGCTACATTCTAAGGGAAAAACAGGAAAGAGGTAGCAACGGCGCGTGTTTTTCCCTTCTATTGCCGCGCCCCCAAGCGGACACGAGAAGAAGGGAGGAACGAGACTTTTTTCTCCTGCCCCAGGCAGACGGGACAAAGGTTCCGCCCTTTCGCCTAATCTTTCGGATTCGTTTTTCTAGCACATCGCGCGCGTTGTTTAATAAACGTTGTTGAGTTGACTGACATTTAGCAACAGCGAAGGCCGGCTGTAATTCCGTCTCCCAGTTGAGACATGCGGAACATCTCGGTTGCATTGACCTTTTTAACGCTAATTTTGCAAAACAAGCAAACGAAGCCGTTAGAAACAGCGAAGTTCCGGTGCAGTGCCAGCAGCGCTACGTACTCTGGGCTAAGATGGCCGCCTCCGAATTGCGGAACGACGTGTGAACGTTGAGGACGTTATGGAAACCGCGGAAACGTATCCAAGACAGGCAGATTTTGCGGGGGTGCCTGGGTACCTTCTGTGCCGAGTTCGGTTCTGTTTTCCGCGATGCCGAGTGCCAACCGACAATCAACCTGGTTCTGTATTTCTGTGTTAGCAACATAGCAGCAACATCGCGATGGCAGTGTTTTGCGTTGTGAACGGAAGACTGGAATTATCGCCGATGTGACCGTGTGTTTGCGTATCAGCGCACTATAAAAAATAAGCGTCAAATTTACGGCGGTATATGCGTAATAAAAACTGCGAGTACCCCGTGAAAAGAAATTACCTGAAATGCACCGTAAACGAGCAAAAAGGAGCGAGAGAGAAACGCAAAACTTCACGGAGCAAAAAAGACGAGCATCGCTAATTGGTCACCGCGCTTGACCTCCCGAAGCAGCCACGGGTGCTGCGGGAACCCAGAGAGGCTCCTCTCGCCCCTTCACCTCCTTTCTTTGTCCTTCCTTTCAACATCCGACGCCGCGCCAGCCGCCGCGCCAACCAGAAAAA